GGTATATTTATATGTACCTTATTTAGTGGTTCAGTAAAGACAGTACATAGAGGCCTGATTTGAAAGATTGCCTGTTATAAAAGACAGCTCCTTAAGAAAGACCACCTTTCATGACAGATGACTTTTTTCAGGGATGAATCAACTGTACTGTATATTTTGATAACCTGAGTTGAGATACCACATGTCTTTAGAGGATACTTTTTTAATATAAGGGTTATCTCTCAAGACAGTGCTACTTTAATCATTCAGTTCTTGGCTACCATAGGAGATAATTAACTGGAACTTAATTGATATCAGAATATTGTTTTCAAAAACCATTACTGTGCAAGCTTGTTCACTTATCATCTAATAGGATAATTCTTGTCTTGTTTTTAGTCTATTAATTTGGCTTGTGTTGACCTTGGAGTCAACTGGTGACTTGCAGTACTTTAGTGACCTGCACTATAATGAGATCAGTTGGCATATTCACCTCTTGTTCCAAAATGAGTCAGATAACTTCAGCTATTTAAATGAGACTTATAGATTAGCGAAGTTATAATTTTAACTTTGGTCAGTTTTTGGCAGACACACATCAGGATGGTTGTATGATGAATAAACCCTTATAAAATTGCATTATGAATAGACCCTTCTAAAATTACAGGTATTGAAAATAACAGTTTCAACCATCCGTGAAATACCAATACTTTTTTTCATGTTATTTTTGCAATTTTTTAATTACATTGTTTTTGGAAAGAAATCATTTTATTTGAGTAGCCTTGAAATATTGCATCAGTTTTCATTAGTGATCTGTCATCAGGTCTTGGTGATGTCATTGAAATATTATGATTTCATAACAACTGTCATGCCTTCCAACCATCTCTCTATTCAACTATTTCCCCATTTAGTTTCCATCCAAAAAACTTAAATTTTTGGAACATTGACTGGGTGCATGGCAGTGCATGCATTTTAGACTAATAAGGCACCTATTCATGTTGGGGCTCAAAAGTATAAAAGGTCAAGGTATAGATCACCAAGTCTGAAAAAAGAAATAAGATTTTCAAAAAAATAATTTTAATTCATTTATTTTTGGGAGCTAATTGCATTTATAAACATTTCATGGGATATTTTGCAAAACATAGTATTAAGATTGCTTAGTCTTTATGATTTTAATTATGCCATTTTTAGTGAATCAGTCCTTAGTGACAAAGAACATTTTAAAGGTTTTATTGGAGTGAATATTCTAACAGTGATTAAGAACTTTTGTTTCAAGCATGCATGGAAAATTTGGATCACTTAAAAATGGTACTGCTTTATTTTACTAGAATAAAAACGGGACTATGCTCACAGTGAGAACTTGATGCTGACAACATTTGGATTGAATGCTTAAAATTAAATTGTTTTGTATAACTTGAATGCATTAAAAATTTTACGCATGTTTAATCAATATATCCGCTGAAAATACACAGATGTGCTGCTTATCAACAGTGAAATTTAAAATCACACATTACTGTTGGGAAAATGTAAAAGATAACCTTTCCACAAATGCCATAACAACCATAAGTGTAGCATGTGTAGTGATGGAACTGTGCAATGCCTGTTGTTGTCATTGACCTGTGGATTAGTTTGTTTCATTTAGTATTGCTGTGATGTCTCATAGTTACATATAAATGTACACGAGTTCTGATGTTGAGTTCTGATGTTTAGTCGGTGAGGATATGACCAGTGAAAGAGTGGTTTTGTATGTAAGAAATGTAATAAAACTATTTACCACATTACAATAGTCTTGCTATTAAAATGGACACTAGTTTGCTTTTGCTTATATTGCAACTTTGAAATTAAATATGCATTTCACATAAACCTAATGGTGGATATTAATGCTAATAGAAATGTTGCAAGTGAAAAGATTTTTAGTCCCAAAATGCATCATTCTCTGGAGCTATTGTTATAGATCATGTTCTGTTGACCTTGTGGTTCACTAATCAGTATTTAGCTTTCAATATCAATACTTACGGTAACCCTTCCTAATATGAATTGAAATGCTTGTATGATAGGTTTCTAAAATCAAGCACACTTATTTGGGAATTTCAAAAGTCACCGAAATCTTGTATTGGTATTTGTCAGATCTCTGTGGGAGTGAAGAGATCTCATTTGTATTAGACTAAGGCTTCCCTGCAACCATATTTGCCATGCAGAAACCCAGTTTTGCTGTGACACTGGACAGCCATGTCTTTTTCTGTAAATATCTTGGTATATCAAGGTTGATGGTTAAAGGAATGTTGATATGCATATTAAGTGATGCAGTCTGAGGCCAAGCAGTTTGCGTTTTGATTCTTCTTATAATAGATATTAGATATTATGGTGGTCAGCAAGCCTCACTGGCAGTCTTAACAGTTGCAGAATTAATTATTGCTCACAGTAAATAAATGATTTAAAAGGTTGACAATGACATGAAACCAAAGATAATGAATACACAATATAATTCATCTTTGAACTTTTGTTTAGGTCTTTTAAAACTCATTACATCTGTTAAAAAAATATGTTGTGTCAAGTCAGAAAAACTTAACATGACAAGAATGTTGTGAGTACTGATTTGGATATTTTGGAATGAGATCACTGATAGGTACAAGTTTGCTTATGTCATGCAGAACATACTAATAAAAAAATTACTTTTCTTGCAGAATAGATATAACTATACAACATCAGAAAGTGGTATAAATACCATAATTTAGAATAGTATTGTCATTATACAGTTTTTATGCTGATTCTGAGTGGTCTCACTTTACGGGAGGTTTTCCAGTGAAGTTTACCTTATTTCAGTCTTCCTACAAGATGGTTGTAAAATATTTTTGAACCTGTGAATTGACATGGTTGTTACCAAGTTATTAACTGTTAATGAAGTACATTGGATTCTATTAATATTTTAAAAACCCACATTGCTTCAAATGAAGAACACAAAATAATTTAAAATATACAAATTTTGCACAATTAGCCTTATAGGTAAGTTATTTTGCCAAGCCAATGAATGCAATCATGGTAATTGGTAATCAGTACATTGAATAGGGATGTTTTCTGAGACTGATTGCAGTGGCAGCAGTAAAAAAAGTGTTGAAATTGGGTGGTCACAATTCTTGGAAAGCATGTGTGGGCTGAAGGATTTGCATAGTTAATGTAATTTGGCATTAGGGATAAATTTTGAGCTTGCCTGTCCAAAAGATATACTGAACTAATGGTATGGCCATGCCTCAGCCATGTGTCATGTCTGTTGTCCATTAATCAACAGTTGTTTGATATCACCCAAGAGTCCATTTTTCTGATCCATTTCTGATCATATTTTGGAATATGATGTCAACAAATTCCCTGACAAAATATGTAAGTTAATGATGTGATCTTGCATTTGATTGGCTAACCTTATTATCACTCTGCAAGTGATATTCGTGTTCCAATTTTGAACAGTCTTGGAGTATTTATTATTATTTTTAGTGTTTATATTATTAGGATGTCAGGTTGATGAGGTAGTCTTGCAGCTAATTTTCTGAGCAATTTACCATATTGGGGTTTTGTTGATCCAGTTTTAAGAAAACTTGAAATACATGTTTGTACATGTATCATGAATAGTCATGGCTCAGACAAAATGAAAGTTTGCCAGTAGCTTCCTTTGAGTCTGTCATTCATCTTGGGGTTTTCCCAGGTTCCTCTTTCACTAGATATGATGGCTGCCATGAATAGCCTATCATGTGCTAAGACTGGTGTTGAATCCATAACACCACAAACAAAATCTTTCATGTGATTGGCTGAGGATGTTGCCTGAACAATTTATTTCTGATCCAGTTATGATTAACATGGTTTAAAAAGTATAAATCATCCAAGTCATTTATGCAAACAATCATGAGCCATACCCTGCATACTGGTTAGGTGATTTTGCATCTGATTGACTGAGATTGTCATTTTTTAGTGACTATTTCTAATCATATTTGTATCAAACCATGTACACACACACACACACACACACACACACACACACACACACACACACACACACATATATATATACATATATATATATATATATACATATATATATATATATATATATATATATATATATATATATATATATATATATATATATATATATATACACTATAACAAATAAATTTTTAATCAGGAGATAATGTAATAGGTAATTCAACATGATATCAAGTTTAATTTCTTTTTGTAGTCTTACAAAAAAATATTAAAGCCTGGCCATTAAAATAGTCAACTGTTAAGCTGTCTAGGTCAGGAAAGCAATATTATGCCCATTTTGGACTCTTCATCTTGTATATGATTGTGGAAGTTATTTTGTGTGGATAACTTTTGAAGTTTCAACACAAATTACCATGTACATAAAGTTTAATTAGTTTATTTTCAATAGTAACAATAGAAATGTGCATTGAGCGGTACATTTTTAAAAAGGGCCATATTTAATTGACTGCCAAGGTTGCAGCTGTATACAATAGGCATGATGCACTAATGTCTGCTTGCTGATAATAGACCTGATTTTTCTATGCTTGAAATAGATTATGGAACAATTATAGCCTCATGACCAGATTGCACACAATACAGGCAGCTTATTTCAAGCAATTTACATGGAAGAAAATTGAATATTAACTCAATTATTTTGCTGATATGATGATGATCAAACAATCTGAAAAGCTAAACTGATTATTATTTGGTTTGGTTTTTTTTATTGGCTATATAGTACTGTATAAATAAGAGCAAACGGCCTTTCTCAAGGACACAAGAAGGCAGCTAGGTTTGGCTGCCTTGTTTGGGTATCAAACCTGTGACTTTTGGGTTACATGATCAATTATCTACCAACTGCACAATCATGGATTCCTCAGAATTAATGATGGCTAAATTCTTTATACATGTAAAATATAAAGGGAAAGTGGTAATTTAAGAACAATTTTAATAAGTCATTTTGCAATTATCATTTTCTGAGGTAGCTTAGGCTGATGACTACCTTTTTTCTGGTGAACTGCAGTTCCTCAATGGTTAGAGAGTTGGATTCCCAATCAGAAGGGTGCAGGTTTGATTCCTACAACTGGGCAAGCCTGGGTTTGCTACCATTGTGTGTTTTTGGGCAGGAGACTTTATCTCAATTACGTCAGCACTAAATAACTTGTGTTTCTGTGCCATGAAACACCTAACCAAACCAATCCAAACCAAACTTTTCTCAGTCTCATAAACTTAGCGACCTGCTATAAAGGATCATCAGTTTTAGGATTCTATAGCTCTCATTATAAACACTCCTTGAAAGTCGTAGCATGAATCACTTTATAGTGGGACCACCTTATACTGAAATACATTATATATATATATATATATATATATATATATATATATATATATATATATATATATATATATATATATATCTATATATATATATATATTATCTCACTACCACTTAAACCAATGGGATCTGGGACCATGCATGCCTTGTGGAGGGAACTGCATTATAATGATGCCCATATGTTGAAATAAAGTTGTGTATTCATGTTTGATGGAAAGGTTAATTTAATATGAACTGTCATCCAGTATTCTGATAAAATATTCTCACTATCCCAAGAGACAACTAGTGATGAACTTACACTCATAGCAAATTTATTTTCATATTTTACTTGAATTTTCAGGCAGATGTAACAGTTGTCTGCATTAAGTTGTGTGGTTCAAACTTTTATACTAGTTCAAATAAAAAGGTAAGAACAAAAATTTCAGAATAGATCTCTGTGATAAGGTAAATTGAAGTCATTCTTGAAATAAAAGTTGTCTCTGAATTTATCATTCTCTCAAAAATAGGGGCCCCATATTGTAGTGTGGTCTAAGGCCTTTACAGGTCTGTTTGCTTGGGTTTGATTCGTGCATTTGGCCAACATGGGTATGTAAGAAAGTTTGCCAGTAGCTTCATGAGGGTTGGTGGTTCTTCCCAGTGTTTTTCTGAGGTTCTTCTTCCACTGGATATACTTGCTGCCATGTACAGGCTCTTTTGTGCTGAAAAATTTTGTTAATGCCCAACAACTTTTAAGTGTAGAAGAAAACAACCAGGACTTGAATGGAAACATGTCTGAAATGAATTTTTTATTTCCAAAATGAGCAAAATGTAACATGATGTATATTTTTTAATGTTGTTTGCTAAATTATATGAAAAAGTTGTTGGATGTCTTGTGCCACTAGGATACAGTCATACATGATATTAAATTCAGTTTAAAAAACAAATTGTCTATAGACTTGGATATTGCAACAGCAGTGTCAAATTTTGTAATGGCAGCTACAGCAGCAAAATGTGTTGCCTGACAACCTCAGGCATTGATTTTTCTGCTGTATTAAATGCATCATATATTGATATTCAAATGAAATTGATAATATGAACTGCCTTGCCTTGTTGTGCTGCTGGATTATAAGCTGCACCCCATGAATTTATTTGCAATCCAATCAATGTAATCATAAGTAGTGGGATCAGACTTCATCTCCTGGTCATAAATTAGAAGATGGACTGGAGTTCTGAGATTGAATATATTGATTTCTGAAGATGCTGAAATTTAAGAAATATGTGTCATTGGTGCCTCTGTGCATCTTGACACATTGTGACAAATGGAGCACTTGATATTGATCCTGTTGGCTGGCCAGGCTGTAACAGTAGTCCCAGAAGGCCATTATGCAGTTGCTATGGTTATAGTCAACATTTTGGTCAAAACTATTGCCCATTCTAGTTAGGAAACTCTCATTTGAATGTATTCCTCTTTAATTATACTTGATAACATGTAGTGTGCAGAAATGATACAATTAGATTTATGGGAAAAAAAATTCAGTAAGGTATATTAATTACTTGCTTTACTGGTAATAAAAGAGCTGATGGAGTGTCCTGTTGTCTGTTGTATCAAGTCATTTTGTTAGCAAAACTATTTGGAGGATTGCCATTAAAACTTGATACTCATTTATTCCAAAGCCTAATATTGGCATTTAATCAAAGTGAAACTTCTCCAACAACCAAGCGGCCACCAAATTGGCTGTTTTGGAAACCTTGTTATCTACTCATTCTGAACAGATGGTCGCATCAGTCTGGTCTTTTTGCTAAAAGACAGATGTTCTAGTGGCGAAAGTGGTTAAAGCCTCAGCATCTGATGTGTGGCTTTGTAATTCAACCGATTCTTACCAAAGACTTATAAAAATGGTACTAGCAGCTGCCTCACATGGTGCTCTTCATTAAGAGGTAATAATGTGAGTGGGTGGCACACATACCACATGTCTGCAGCATGATGCCTCAGTGCTTGACATCACTATAAACTGCCACATTGCAAATATCATAGAGATATGGCTGAAAAATTGTTAAAGCTAAATCACACACATGCATGCGCACACACATGCACACACACGTGTACACATACCTTTTACTGTATGGATTGTCCAAAATGAAAATCATTTTGCTGGACAATCATTATGGCCATTCATTTCAACATGGGGTTTTCAAATTTTTAAAAAATAATGATTTTTTTTTAGGTCCTACATGATCAGATATACATAATGGCTATCATACTGGTCAGCATGAAAATACTAATGCTATTTCTCCTGAATTGTCACATTGAAATATAATTTCACTAAAAGACTTGTGCTGTCTAGTTGGCACTAACTGAAAATAGTGTAAATCTGACATCCAGTAATACATTGTTACAGTATCTTCACTGAAAAACTTGTATGTATTATGATATTTTGTGAGTTGCAAGAGAAAGTTATGTCATTTTGTTATAGCTGCTCGAAACTGATGAATGTGTTGATATTTGGTTTCTGGTAAAGAATTCTTTTCCTAAATGAAATTATTTTTTTACAGACATTTTTTTGTTGCTCCAGAGGGATGTGTGATTATATTGTCATAGAATTTCTAAGAAAGACTTATCATAATCTCTAGTTGAACCTAAATGAAAATGGTGTCCTTCACCTGTCCTGTATGATCACCAAGGTGTCCATGCTGATATTGTTATCTCTATGCCTTTTGAGTGGATAGTTATATTCATTATACCATGGTGTTGACTTCCTATGTTTACAGTTGTGAGATTATCAAGTCATTTGTTCCAGCTTTCAATTAAAATCAGTTGACCAATGGATATTGCCAATCAACAATGAATTAGTTTATACACATTTGAAAAATGACTGGTTTTATCATTTTCAGGGAGAAATTAAATGGCTGATAATGTGATGAAATGTTGATGTTGACATGGTTTTAATGGAACCCAATGTTTAGGACCAATATCTTATAAGATTCAGTAATACTCAAATGATTGGCATGTACAACGTTTTGCTTGTAATGATGGCATTGAGGCTTTAAAGGCAACTACTGTCATTTAGCATTATCAGTAATGTGCTTGATGTGCAATGTTACATAATGTAAGCAATTCTCGTTCTCATCTACTTGTGCCTTTTTTCCCTCCATTCAGTGTGAAAATGCTGGATACATACTTTAAGAAAAGAAATAACAAAAATGTTTATCTATATAAACTTCTTTTTACATTGCCATCTCAAAAATCAATGATCCGGTGTTCTAGTGGTTAGAGTATCTGCCTCGGATGTGGGAGATTGTGGGTTCGAACCCCAGCCAAGTCATACCAAAGACAAAAATGGTAATAGCAACTGCCGAACTAGGTGGTCAACTGCCGCACAAGATGGTCAGCATTAAGAGGTTAGTGTTAGAACTGGTCAGCCAGTTGTCGGAACACGGAACACTGTCGCAAACATCTTAAAACAACCCTTGTCTGAATGGTGGCATTGACATCAGGTTTTCATTTAAAACATTTTTGTGCAATAATTAATTGGTTCTGAATAAAAATGGTCAGATTTGACCACCAGAATATCTGCCACAGTTCTATAGAACCCAGCCTAATGAATCTTATATGAAGTCAAAGTCATTACTTGCATCCTAGTATATTAATAATCTTACTTAATCTTAATAATGTGACTTGTACATAAGTAGGTGAATTTTGACCTCACTTGTATTTATTTGCATTCTAATGAACAAGCTACATAGCAATCTAATATTGATCTTATTTTGCAAACAATGAAATCGACTAATATTGGATTCCAGGAAACTTTTTTGGTGTAAAGCCAATTAGCATATACCCAAAATTGAATGGACAGTGGTTGGTAAAATGTTGCCATTGGGATGATTTGAATATAGTACATGATCATAACATTGACAGGGTGACAGGATATTAGACCTAAATGTCAAAGAAAAGCTTTGTGTGGCTCTGAAAATTCACTTGATGCATGAGACCACTGCCAGCATTGGTACTGTTTACAGTCCATTGGGGTTGGCACAAGTTAGGGTTGGAGTGAATTTCATTGCTGCTTGCAGTGTCCCTCTTTGGTCATAAAATAATAGTGAAACAAGCTATATGTTGTTACATCAATGTACTAGATTCCTGCATTGGTCAGGTCTAAATTTTTTTCACATTTACCATGATTTATAGGTCACCCACACATAAAGGCAAGCTAGTTCCATGGGTGACCTTTTAAGATAGTTTTAGCTCTTGTTCTCTCCCACCCATTTTGTTGCCTTTACTATGGTACCAAAGTTGGCATGCAGTGGGATGTTTAAATGTTATAGGTGGACTACCCATTTTATTTGATTAGATTTAATGATGAAATCATGATGTCGGCATTTTAGTTTTGTATCAGCAATAGCTGTGTTGCTTAAAAGTGTCTTGTCTCATGTACACAAGGATGGTTATTGCAGTGGTTTTGTAAGGCTTTGCTGTCAGTCCTTATCAGAAATAAAGAGTGTTGTCTAGGGTTTTATTTTGTGAGGTGACTTAAATTTGTAATAGCCAAAACTGAAAATATATATATATATATATATATATATATATATATATATATATATATATATATATATATATATATACACACACACACACACACACATATATATATATATATATATATATATATATATATATATATATATATGTGTGTGTGTGTGTGTGTGTATATATGTGTATATATATCAACATAGCTTTTGATGAACAAGGAAGTTTTATATAATGCATTCTAACATCAAG